CCACCCCCCCCCCCCCACGGCAGACCTCGCCGCGGGCTCTGGGCTGCGACTCCTCCGGGAACCCCTTCACATCCTGGGAGCCTCGACCCGCTGCGCTCCGCCCCACCCCGGCCCCGGTCCAACCGCCCCTCTTCCCGTACCCAACGTTCAGCGGGCCCGGACTCACCTCTCCACCCACTCCCGCAGGAAGCGCATCTCCTCGGTGTGCAGGACGCTCGGGTCCTGCCTACACATATTCACGAAGGCCCGAAGCTCGCTGACTTTGCGCGGGTCCATGGTAGAGGCGGCGGAGGCCCAAATCCAGGCCCAGGCGCTGGCTCAACGTGAAGGAGTGGAAGGGGGCGGCTGCAGCGAAACAGAACAGACTAGAACCTCCCCGGCCGCTGGCTCCACCCCCCGACACGGCCTCGTGACCCCGGGGTCCTACACCCTCCACCTGTGCACTTGCGCACTGTCTAGAACCTTCTAGAAGCGTAGCTGTCCGCGCTAGTGCCTGCGTCGTGACGCAAACTTCCCTAGCCGTGTCCGTTCCTCTGACTTAGTTCCCACGATGGCTGAAGGCCCCTGCGTGGGCGCTTTCAAGCGAGGACACGGAATGGAATTTGGAAACGCCACTGAGCAGAACCAGATGCCAGAAAGGGAAAAAAATGGCCGCCGCACCACCCCCTCCCGAGTGACGTGATGTCATCACCTCGCGCCGCACCCGCGAGCCAGCCTGCTGGAAGGGGTGGGGCGGTTGGCTAGTTTCCTGGCGACACGGCTTTGAGGGCTGGTTCTCTCCCCGGCTGTTTGTCGCTTTCCTTTCCTGACGCGTGTCCACGCGGTCATGCAGTCCCTGCTCTCAATCCCCAAGCTGATTCCCGCTATCGCCAGCCTCCGCGGTGTCTCAGGTTAGAGTCTATTCCTCCGTTTCCCCCCAACCAAGGGCCTCAGGCGCCCCTGAGAGATGCAAGTTGGTGATCCAGGCTCTGTAAGCCGGGGCTCCCACTGCGGCTTCCCCGGGACCCCCTCGGATTTCTGCCTCTTACTGGCCACTCTGGGGAAGGGTGGGCCTTGGGTGCTCTCCGAGAGCCAGTATGCCTTCCGCTAGAGGCACTGTTTGCAAAGTGACTCCGACACAGAAGTTGCACCGTTTATCACCGCACTTGCTAATGTGACAGTGTTGCCGGTCTCCTAGCATTTGTTAGGTCAGCATCAAATCTTTTCAACATCTTTTCAAAGATTTCATTCGAGAGCTGGCTCAAAATAGACGAGAAACACGGTTAGGAGCAGTTCTAATTAGAAAACGTTGGACTTTTCATCGGGACGTGGGGCATGCCCCTGAAACACAAGTAAAGACGATGAAGGAGCCTGGAAACGGGGGGAACCTTTTTGTCTCTCTCTACTCTATGGCAAGCAATCTGATGAACATTAAAATTTCAAGTTAAAGAGTGAGTCCACTATGTAGGCAGATGTAAAATTGAATCGTATTTCAGATGGGGGAGCGAAATATGTGACCCAGAGTAAAACTTGTGTTGGCATATATGTATGCTATTTGGATCCACTGAAATGCTTTCTATGAAAAAAAAATTGCCCATTGCACAGAGCTTGCTTTCTAATCCTAAAGGTTGTGTACAGAAAGCTCTGCCTTGGATGAGAATAAATGTAAATGTACTACAATTCATCAGTTTCAATCACAGGGCACACCTATGACTGAGCTACAACCGGCCTTTTTACTTGTGATCTTGATTTTTTTTTTTTTTTTGAAGCTTTGAGTAAATCCTGATTGATTTCAACTTTGTCTAGATACTGAGTTATATACATAAAGATCTTTGAAAAGTAAATTCTTTATGCTTTGTTTCCAAGGAAGGTAAATTCTGCGTTCTTCTCTCTTTTAAGATTTATTTTTAATTATGTATATACATAATGCCTATGTGCAGGTGCCGTGGAGACCAGAGGTATTGGATCCTCTGGAAGTGAAGTTAAGAGGGGGTTGTGAGCTGCCCAGACCTGGGTGGTGGGAAACAAACTCAGGTCCCCTGCAAGAGGAGTACCCACTCTTAACTGCTGAGCCATCTCTTCAGTCTCTCACTTAATAAGAGGTCTTAGTAATGCTTGGTAGAGTCCTTTTGGAACTTTTTATTTCGTGAGCTAAAAAAAATGAAGTTTCATTCAGTAGTCCTTGTGGATACATCTTGATCCCTGGAGCTGCTCAGTCTAGCCAAGGGAGATAGACAAGCAACAAATGGTGTTGTGGCTAAGAGTGATCATAGTCTGGACCCAAGTGATGGGACTGCAGGAAAGCCAGGGATGCATTCTAAGGATTGTACTACCCTCCAAAGTTAAGTTTTTGAGTTTCAGAATTCTAACCTTGGGGTGTCACCAGTAGGACTTTGAATATTTGTGGTGCTCTTGGTTATTGTTGTGATGACCCCACCCCATTTTTAAACAAAGTGCATTTATTGAGCAACAGCACACTTAAGAGTCACAAAACACAATGAAAATAAGCAAATTTCTCAGTGTTTTCAAGTTCTTTGAAATTCAGGGACACTAAATGCTAGTATTCGCAGGGATTCTCAGAAATTTCAAAAATCTGATTTTAAACATACTTCTAACAGGCTGGAGAGTTGGCTAAGAGGTTAAGAGCAGTTAATGCTCTTCCAGAGGACCTGAGTTTAGTTCCCAGCACCCAAGTCAGACAGCTCACAACAACCTCTTAACTCCAGCTCTGAAGGATCCGATACTTCTGGCTCCCATGTGCACATACATGGACAGGCAGACATACAGATGTGGTTTTAAAAAGGTAAATAAATCTGGGCCAGGTGTGGTGGTACACGCCTGTAGTCCCAACACTCAGGAGGCAGAGACAGGTGGATCTCTGTGAGTTCAAGGCCAGCCTAGTCAGAGACCCTGTCTCAAAAAGACCGAAAAAAAAGTTACATAAATCTGAATAAAAAAACTAACAATCTTCAGCCTGTTATTTGAATAGCTAAAATTGATTAAAGAATAAGGTACACTAAGTTTAGTAGTTCTTAAAAAGAACTACTGTCTGGGGCTGGAGAGATGGCTTAGCGGTTAAGAGCACTGACTGCTCTTGCAGAGGACTTGGGTTCAATTCCCAGTACCACATAGTGGCTACGAACTGTCCTTAACTCCAGTTGCAGAGGACTCTGACACCCTTTTCTGACGTCCATGGCATTGTACAACGTGCCTGCGCTCACATGCAGACAGTACACTCATACACATAAAATACTAATAATAAATAATTTTTAAAAAGAATTACTGTCTTTAGGGATATTCAAACAATTTAAAATGCAGATCTCCCAGTAAGGTAGCCCCTCATGGAATCACATTTTTTTAATATATTTTTAATTTCTTGAGAATTTAAAATGATGTATTTTGGTCATACTCACTCCCACTTCCCTAATTCCTCCCAGATCCAGCCTTATCTCTCTGTCCCACCAGCTATATGTGATTACCCCTCTTTAGAAATTGAATATTTTGGGGCTGGAGAGATGGCTTTGCCATTAAGAGCACTGGCTGCTCTTGCAGAAGACCCAGGTTCAAATCCCACCACCTACATGGTGGCTAACAACGGTCTGTAACTCCAGTTCCAAGGGGTCCGATGCCCTCTTCTGTCTTCTATGGGCATTGTATGACATGGGTGCATTTACATATATGCAGGCAATATACTCATACACATAAAATAAAAATAAATTTTAAAAATTAAAATGAAATTTTAGAAACAATATTGACTACTGACACTGATTATACTACTGAACCACTCCCCAACCTTCAAAATATTACTAACTAAAGGTCAGCCTAATTAAGAGCAGTTTTAGTGAGTGGAATGTGCTGCTAGCACCATCTAGTCATCTGAGAAGAAGCAAAACAAATTTCTAGGGGTGCATAAGTTGTATTTTCAAAGGTAATTAAGATATATATTAAATCTGACATAGGAAAGGAAGTGGTTTGTTCAACAGATCCTTGAGCACTGAATGAAAGAAGTTTCAGTGTAAAGCAGATAAAAGGCAAATAGTGATACATCATACTAAATGTACTCATGAAAGTCCAGAGGTCTGGAAAGGGGAAATGTGGATACTCCTTAAGAGGGTTTTGATCTTAAGGCTTGAGGGTCTTAAGATGTTGAGGGTCTCACAAAGCAGAGTATAGGAGTCCTGTCAGCAAACAGGAAAGATGAGAGAACTCTAAAAACAGAATCCAGGTACTAAGCACTGTCCTCATTTGATATGGATGGGGAATTTTTTGGAATATGTCCCTGAGCATATTAAGGTGTTATTTCAGAATGAGTCTATGGCCAAATGCATGTGGATAACCTCCCAGTTGGCATCTGAAACAGAGTTGTATTTGTCAGAGTTTACAAAATGTCCATGGAGCCTCTTTCTGTGGTGAGTCTTGGAATTGTTATTTCTCTGCATATTTTGGAAGAAGTTGGGCTTTGGCTTAGAGAGGACCAGGTATATTATATAAAAAAACAATGAGGCTTTTCTTCTAGACAGTGGGAAACCATTTAAAAAAAGTAAAGTATTGGTTAAGATAATTAAATCTGAGCCAGGCGTGGTGGTGGCAGGCCTTTAGTCCCAGCACTCTGAGGTAGAGGCAGGTGAATCTTTGTGAGTTGGAGGCCAGCCTGATCTACATAGTGAGTTCCAGGCTGGCTGGGGCTACAGGGAGACCCTGTCTCAAAAAGACCCCGGGGGCGGGGGCATGGCTGAAGATAATTAAATCTGAATTTTTAGTTAAAAGAAAACAAATGGCCAGCACACACCTGTAATCCGAGTACTTCAGAGATGAAGGCAGGATGACTAGGAGTTCATGTTCATCCTTTACAACATAGCAAGTTACTTTTGTTTTTGTTTTGGGTCTTTTTGAGATAGGGTCTCCCTGTAGCCCCAGCTGACCTGGAACTCAACTATGTAGACCAGGCTGGCCTTGAACTCACAGAAGATCTGCCTGCCTCTGCTTCCTAAACACTGGGATTAAAGGTATGTACCACCACACCTGGCTGCATAGCAAATTTGAGAACAGTCTGGGCTGCATGAGACCCTGTCACAAAAAAAGAGTAGAGGACATGTCATTGTTTTCTTACCTTTTCTGAGACACTGGGTTTTGTTTTGTGAAATTTTTTTTCAACTTTAATCCTGTATCCAGGGAAATAGGTAAATCCTGCTAAATGATACATTTTACATAAATATCATTTAAAATACCCTAAGCTTTTATGGTTTTATTTTCTGAAAATAACTTTGGGTGCTAATTGTCCCCAGTCTCTTGAAGAATGAATTACCTTTCTTCCCCAAATACCTACCCATTGAAAATCAGACAGTAAAAAAGCTATAGTAGTCATTTAAAAATAGTAGATACTCTATAGTTTTTCTTTCTTCTGACTTTCAGTTCAGTACTTCTACTTGGCCAGAAGTGGTTGGTTTTAGTGCTGTTAGATTATTTACTTGCAATTTTTAATACAATAATTTGGAACTGGTTCCCCACTAGCATAGCATGTACCTACAACTTATATTAATTACATTCTAAGATAAAAGACGAAAAGAATATGGTCAATAGATGTTAAAAAGTAAGAGCTTAATGACAGAAAAATGCAAGACACAAGTCACACAGCAACTGCTTTTCAATGCTCAATAAATCAAGCATCTCCAATGTAGCATATCCAAAACTTAGCACCTGCACTCCTGCCTCAGTTAATGGCAATGCCATTCTTCTGTTTTCTATGTGCCAAAAACTGTTGGCCTCGACTCCTGCCATGTCCTCTCTTACATCCTGTTTGACCTGCCTTTTGAATATATCCTAGTCTGAACTCTTAATCATCTTCCACTGCCACCACCTTGGCCCAAACTACTATAACCTCTTACATGGATTATGGCAATAGCCTGGTCCCCCTGCTTCTGCCCTTGTTTGCTTGAGTCTGTTGGGAACAACAGTCAGAGAAGTCTAGTTTGAATATGTCATTCCTGTCCTCAAAAAAACCCCAGTGGCTTCTTTTCTCCCATACAACAGCCAACCTATGCTGTGATGAGGCAGTCCCTCTGTAACCTGAGTTTCTTGTAATGTTTCTGGCTTCATCCATTTGCTGTCTTAATCTGCTGCTCTCACAGAGAATTACTCTTACAGTAATTCATAACATTAATCATACAGTATTTCACGTAACATCCTAAAAGCTCATCTGTGTTGTAACATATGACAAGACTTTCTCAGTCAGTAACCACTAAGCCACAGAGGTAGGCAATGTGACAGGATTTTCTTTCTGGACTGAATATTCATTTGTGTGTGTGTGTGTGTGTGTGTGTGTGTGTGTAAAATACACATCAAGTTTTGTTAATACACTGATCTCTTGATGGGTGTATGGGTTGCCTCTGCCTCTTGACTAATGTGAATAGAGCTGCTGGCAACATGTTTGTACAGATATGTCTGACTGCTGTCCAGTGTAAAAGAAAATACTACTTTAATTTTTAATTTATTGTGTCTTTAAATTGTGTATCAAACGTTCTGCCTTTACTGGGAAAAATTCATGAATAGTTATATAGGCTGAACCTATGTTTTGTAATATATTTTTATCTCCTTATGCTAAGTACATTTTTTAAATGTGTTTGGTTTTAATTAAATGAAAGGATTGAAATTGGCCATAAATGCTCCTGAAGAGAAATTCTGTATACATACAGCCCATAAACAAAAAGTTTAAATAATTCTACAGTTTTCCATGGTTTTAACATTACCAACTGTTACCACAAACTCATATTTTTCTGATACAGCTAATTCATACAAGTGCTGACCAGATGTCCACAATCTTGTTTAAAGCACAAAACAAACGAACTCTTAGTCAAGACACACAAATAGTGGTGGTCAGATGTTATATGATCGTATTGAGTCAGTTTAGCGATTCCTTTTGTTTGACTTCTTTTGCACCTCTCTGTGCTTCTTTTGTTTTCTCCTACCACCTTTGAATCCTGCTGAGAAACTGGAAGGTTCCTTCTTGCTGGTGACCCATGGTGTGCCTTGCTCATTGTTGTCCACAAGGGTGTATTGAGATATATTTGGCGGGGCTGTAGACATTTGGTGAATAGTTGTTGAATGATTGCCTCCTCCAGTTGCATCTTTCTGCAAAGCCTTCTTCATCTGTTACACAGTTTGCAAGAAAGGATTTCAAGTCACCACCCTCTTCAGCTTCTTCTTTCTTAACGATTCTCAAAATTTTTCTTTGCATTAATATTTCTGCCACTAACAGTTTTGCCTGGAGGTGTAACAGATATGTAGTTGCCCATCCCAGTATCATCAAATGCCAGGGAAGAGAATGCAGGAAGGCCCTCATGCCCCGGTGAAACGTAGAGTGTATATCCTGTGTCATAAGAGGAAAGTCTCGAAAAAACAGGATGTTCATGGGACATGGAGAAAAGGGATCCTGTTCCTCAGCTGCTTCTGCTGAAGCTTCTTGGACTGCTTATAAGGTCCTCCATTGAGTCTTCAAAGAAGTGAAATGAAAATAGATTCCTTTCACCAAAAATTCCTTTAAAGACATCATCTGCCTTATGGAATGTGAAACCATGCTCACATTCATCATCAAGATGGCTTCCACCATTCAATCCTTCCTTGTCGTACTTATCACAAATGTCCCACTTTTTGCCATTTGATAATACTTCATATGCCTCAGCTGCTTCTTTGAATTTTTGCTCTGCTTCCTCTTTATTTTCTGGATTTTTATCAGGATGCCATTTAAGTGCCACTTTATGGTAAGCTTTTTTAATGTCCTCGGTTGAAGCGTCTCTCTGCACTCCCAGAACTCATAGTAATTCAGCATGGTTGGACGGATTATGGGAAACGAGCACACTTGGTAGTGAGCTCTGTAGTTTCCCTGCAGCTCAGGCTCTGCTGCTGGTAATAGTGGTGGAAGTGACTGCAAATAGGCACATGTTAACATTAAAGGTACTCTCCACTGCTAGGAGACTTTAGGATTCTGATTATGTGGCAAGCAGAGGTGCAGGCTTATGTCAGCTGCATTATGGTGTCACACTGGGTTAGAATAGGGATTAAGTCTTCCAAATGGAATTACCCTCTCCCAAACTGTCTATGCTATTTCTTCTGTAGCTCTCTGGAAGCCTCAGGCAGTGCATCAGAAACCAGTGGAATTCATTGCTAATAGCCACAGCATCCCTCTTACAGAATCGGACCTCCTGATTACTGAACCTTAATTATATCCTGGTTCTTCTAAGTTTTGGTTTAGAAAAATGAGAATTTAGGAAAACTGAAAAACATATTCAAGCAGTTGACATATTTATCAAAAGACATGTCAGTAGGAGATGGTAATTTAATGATAAGAAAGGCTAGGATGGAGGAAGCGCTAGATGGATTGCGTGAGAGACACCCCAGACTGGGCATCAGGGAAGGCTTGCAGGTAGCCTAATCAAGCTTTCTGTGAACCAGCAATGGGTCATTTGAGATGGCAGTACCTGAGCCTACCTACAGTTTATTATAAAAGTATGGGTAGAAGCCACAGCTGATAGTGCATACCTTTAATCATGGCACTCAGGAGGCAGGGGCAAGAGAATTGCTAGTTCAAGGGCAACCTCTGCTATATAGTACAACCCTGTTTCCAAAGGAAAACGTAGGTAAAGCTCTTGTAAGCTTGCGCTCATGGTGCATTCACATACATGCAGACAAAACACTCATAAAATAAATTTTTTGAAATTTAGAAATATCTTGGAAACTGCATTTATGAATTTAGAATATAATTATTGAATGGCTACTCTGTGCCAACCAGGCAATTTTAGCTACTGGTGATTAACAGTACTAAAAAGATACCAATTTTCATGATGCTTAAATTCTTTTGTAATAGAATACAAACTGGGCATGGTGGTTGGACTTAAAGCCCATTTGATGGGAGGAAACTCGTGTGTGGTACTATATAAACCTAGCTGGAGGGGTCATAGATCTTAGTGAAAACTCCAAGGCTGTCATATCTCTACACAAATAAAATTTCTTACTATGTGCAAAATATGGATCCTTGAATTTATAGCCAGGTATCCCAGTCACCACCCATCAAAGAAGCTTCTTTTTCAAGAGATAGAGATAATTACAGAGTTCTACAACTGGTCACACATAGAGATTATTTCTGAACTGCCCAAGCCTAAGTGGCACATCTAGCATGCAACCTCCACACCTAAGGCTCATGGAAAATAGAACAAGAGATGAAGAGAACACTAATGCATCTTTCAGCCCTCATCAGTGAAGCTCCCTCATGCGACAAAAGGTCACCAATGGCCAAAGCATAGAAAATAAGAGTCTGTAGAGTGTGAGTCCTTGAACAAGGCTCCTGTATTAAAATCCACCCTCCCAGGGCTCAGGGGTCATTGCAGAAGATGGGGCAGAAAGATCGTAGAGCCAGAAAGGAGGTGCCGGACCATACGAAACAGTCATGCAGGCTCCTGAGACCCTTCTCATACAAATCTGCATCAATGGTGTCAGCATGCACAAGGCCATGCAAAGTTAAGCAGACAAAAACCCAGTGAGAAAAGCTGAGCCTGTCAGACTCCGTCAAAAGTTCTTTCATTCATTATTTTTAGTAGGGCTGTGTATATTCTAAGAAAACACTGCCGCTGAGCTGATACTCCCAACCCTAAGTAAAGTTTTGTCTGTTATATGGTACTAGGTATTGAGCCCAGGGTTCAGCATGTGCCCATCACATGCTCTACCACAGAGCTACACCCCCAGCCTTAAGCTTCAAAGTCTATTCCTTTTCTTCAGATCATTCCATTCTGGCCACCCCACTAACATGGTCTGATATGTGCACAGCCACTATCATCTTTTTACTTCTGTAACAAATTACCATAAACTGGCATCTTAAATAGGAGTTTGTTTTCTTATAGTTCTGGAGACCAGAAATCCAAAATCAAGGAGTCAGCGCACCTGCACATCCACCAGAGGCCCTAGGAGACATTCTTCCGTTTGCTGCTCCTAGCATGGGTGGCTGTGTGCTCCTCGGACTGCTGCATGGCTTCCAGCTCTGCCTCTGTGCATATATTGCCTACTTTTCTGTTTCACTCTCTTCTCTGCTTCAGGTCTCTGCTTTTCTCTCATAGGGACACCTGTCCTTGCTTATAGGGCCTGCCCAAATAATTCCAGATTTATCTGAAGATCTTTAATCACATCTGAAAAAGTCTCTTTCCAAATAAAATCAGAGCCATGGATAATGGGGATCTGAAAATGGACTTACCTTTGGGAGTCACCATTCAAGCCATTACAGCTATACAATCATTTTGGTGGACTGAGACAAGCTTTTTTTTATGAAATAGGACCAAAAAAAAATTACATTAGGCAGAGGAAGACTAGTGGCCAGAGAAATTTTCGTGCATGTATATGATAGTTTACTGTGCAAAATTTATTTCCTACTGTGGATCTTGGTCAAAAAAGTTTGAAAGCTGCTACCTAATCAAAACTTCACAAGTGGACGAATAGGTATGAAAGAATTGAGCAGCATGCCAAGCTCACACCGATCACAGAAGGAAGCTGGAACAAGTTTTTCTACTACACCATGCTCCTTTTAGCTTTTAAAAAAAAAAACCATTTTTATTTTATGTGTATGAGTATTTTGCCTGTATATATGTAAGCGCATCATGCATGCAATGCCCATAAAGGCTAGAAGAAGCTGTTAGATCCCTAGAACTGGAGGTTACAGGTTGTTAGTCACAGTGTGGGTGCTCAGAACCAAACCTGGGCCCTCTACAAGAGCACCCAGGGCTCTTAACTGCATCTGTTGTAACATCATTCCTCTATCCTCTGAATTTGTAAAATGCTGGCTTTATCTTTGTCAAGTTTTCAGTGTGTAGACTAGGTATAAAATATGAGAATGAGCCAGGCGTGGTAGCACACGCTTTTAATCCCAGCACTTGGGAGGCAGAGGCAGGCAGATCTTGGTGAGTTCAAGGCCAGCCTGGTCTACACAGTGAGGTCCAGGACAGCTGGGGCTACAGGGAGACCCTGTCTCCAAAAGACCAGAAAAAAAAAAAAGTATGGATGAGGCGTAAAATATATTGTATACATTTCCTAAGCACAGATTCAAGAAATGCCTGTTCACTATTTGTCAGTTTTCTCATTCCCACTACTCTTGATAGTATTTTCATTCTGCCTGGAAATCTATACCATTTTCTCCATTTTTTTTTTTGAGACAGGGTCTCCCTGTAACTCCTATGTAGACCAGGCTGGCCTCGAACTCCTTCTGCCTCTGCTTCCCAAGTGCTGGGATTAAACCACTCCGAGCCAACATTTTCTTTTTTTGTCTTTTTGAGACAGGTTCTCCCTGTAGCCCAGGCTGGCCTTGAACTCACAGAGATCCACCCGCTTCTGCCTCCCAAGGGCTGGGATTAAAGGCGTGCACCACCATACCCAACACTATTTTCTTTTTTGCCATCAAAGAAGCCATAATTTTTCTCATCAGTCTGTTAAGTGCCATACAAACATGAGGACCTGACTTCAAATCCCCAACACCCATGTAAAAAGCAGGGTATAATGTGTGTCTGTATAACCCTAGCATGGGCACAGGGGGACCCCTGAAACTTGCTGGCCAGCCAGTCTAGCCAAATTGATGAGTTCCAGGTTCAGTGAGAGACCTTTCTAAAAATTTGGTGGACAATAACTAAGGAAGACACCCAGGGTCAACGTCTGGCTTACACACACTCCTGGATATGTATGCAGACATATATGAACGCACAAGCATCACACACACACAGACTTCCCAACACTAGGATACATACAACCTCATTCATGCTTCAGGGGCTACAGAAGTCTTTAACTTGATCCTCACTTAATGATATTCTGCAAAGTTTGAATATCTTATCCAGTACTGTGTGGCCTTGTATAAATTGTTTTAATGAGTCTGATTCCTCCTTTATAGCAGAACCGTGATCATGCCTACTTCATATCACAGATAAAAGTCTAGTTGTTAGCCTTGCATTGTGGCTCACTTCTTTAGTGCCAGTCCTCAGGAGGCTGAAGGAGGAAGATAACTGCAACAACACGTCAGGGTTTTAGAGTGAGACCTTGTCTCAAAAATAATCTAATTCTTGGGGCTGGAGAGATGGTTCAGCAGTTAAGAACACTAGCTGTTCTTGCAGAAGACCCAGGTTTGAATCCCAGCACCCACATGGCAGCTAACAACTGTCCATAACTCCAGTCCCAGGGGCTCTGACAGCCTCTTCTGACCTCCATGGGCATTGCATGACACGGGTGCACTTACCTACATGCAGGCAATACACGCATACACATAAAATAAAAATAAAAATAATAAATTTTTAAAAATATAATTCTTTAGTAAACTATGCAAAGCTTTCAAAGGTCTGCTGGAGAACAGCCTACTGTTGAACTGTTCTGTCCCTTCTCCACGTTGTATAGACAGCGCCTTCTGCAATGGCATTCATAAAACCGGCACTCTTCCCTTTACACGAGTAATTTCTGTTCAGTGCAGGCATCACCTACTCCTGCAGTCCCTCCCTACACCTTATACAAGCTTCCCTCTGGCCTCTCTTTGGTTGTACCCTTGTTAAGATGTGATGGCTTCTGTGTGTGAATATGGCACTCAGGTAGGACTGTGATGCTCTATCTTGTCTCCTCCACACAGACTGCTGTTTGACGTCTTGTTCTTATATCTTGCTCATCTTGTGTTCCAGTCATGTCCTCAATAACTGATTTTTTAATTTATCTTATGTGTGTGCATGTATTGCCGACACGTGTGTACATGTACCCATGTTGTACAGAGTCCCCAGAGGACAGAAGAGCGCATCAGCTCCCCTGGAACTGGAGTTACTGGCTGTTGTTAGCTGCCACGTGGGTGCTGAGATTCGAACCTGGGTCTTCTGCAAGAGCAGCCAGTGCTCTTATCTACTGAGTCAACTCTCCAGCCAATAAATGATTTTTAACCTAATGTTAGCAGTACTAGCATGTGCCAACTACGTGTAAGCTTTTTTTTAAATGCGTTATTTTATTGACTGTAACATTGCAAGATTAAAAGAAATAGTGCACCCGTATTTCCTTAGAGTTGACATATTCTCAATAAAAATGTTAGTTGGGGCCTGGAAAGGTGGCACGCAGCAGTTAGAGCATTTTCTTTTCTTGCATAGGCTCTGAGTTTGGTTCTCAACAACCACATGGCAGCACCTAACCATCTCTAATTCTACTTCCAGGTGATCCAGTGTCCTTTTCTGCCCTCCAAGGGCACCAGGCATTGCATGCGGTGCACATGAATACATGTAGGGAAAACATTCACGCACATAAATTGAAAATAAAACCTTTTTAAAAATTAAGGTTTTTCTAAAACAGTTTTAGGCTACCTCTGTGGACTCCTTCCAGGCTCCTCCTTTTATTCCCTTCCTCACAGCTCCTTCATACCTTTATTTTTTTTGTTATGTGTATATATGTGTCCGATATACTGTAGCAGATGAAAGTCTTTACAGATCAAGATCTTATTTCTGTTTCTTGGGCCCAACATAGGCTCTGGTGTAGAGGAAGAGCCTGAACATATTGGAAAGAGGAAGAAAGAAATGGTAATTTGTATTTTGTAAGGATGCAGACTTCTGGGAGTAGAAAAATGTATAAATCCTGTGGCACCTCATAGATCCATTGTTCCATTGTACTCTTTGCTCTCCTTTCAGGATGCATGCCATGTTTACAGCGAAGGTACTCCCTCCAGCCTGTGCCAGAGAAAAACATTCCAAACCGATACTTAGGCCAACCCAGCCCCTTTACACATCCACACCTCCTCAGACCAGGTAAGACCTTTAATTATAACAGTTGTCTTTCTGTTTAGATGTTTTATCTAGAATTATACTATACATTAAAATCTTTGCAGCAGTGGACTGTTCTAAATCTATAAAGATAGCCACTAGTGTGTTGTTAGCACACAGTAACTGTTACTGGTGCACCTGAGGAACTTAAGTTTTAGTTTTATTAATTTAAGCTTAAATGGCTACGTGCAGCTAGCAATGCTGTATTAACAGCCAGTCTAGAACAGTAAATGTAATGGCCTTTACAATTCAGAATAACCAGTAAAAAGTACATATTTTGGGCTGGAGGGATGGCTCAGTGGTTAAGACCACTTACTATTCCAGAGGACCTGGGTTCAATTCCCAGCACCCACATGGTGGCTAACACCCGTCCTTAACTCCAGTTCCCAGGGATCTGATGCCCTGTTCTGGCTCTGTGGACATTGTACTACATGCATGTGTTTGCATACATGCAAGCAAAAAACTCATACATAAATAAAAATAAATGAGTCTTTAAATTTTTTTTTTAAGTGCATATTTCAGGTTTTTTAAAAGAAAATTTCTAATTCTGTAATAGCATCTAGAACTATGTTGATTTTTGTTTCTCTTGAAAATGTTAAATATTCATTTGGAAATTTTAGCATATATATAAGTTGAACATTTACAGATGCTTCTCACTACTCTGAGAAGTCATTGGTTACAATTGATAAAATAAAGATTTATTTCATTATTGTTTTCAGTATTGCTGCTAGAACATGTGTCCACAAAATTGCTCAAATAAGGACTTAAAAGTGTTTCTGTTTTGTTTTTAAGAAGGCATTTCAGGGATGAAATAGGATGGATGTACGTCATCCCAGAAAGGCAGGTAGGGTAAAGCAATTGCTTTGTAGAAAAAAATGGTTTTTGAAGCCAAGTTACTTATTCCTCCCACCATGGAATCAATCTATACTCTGTCTACTACTATGAAAGCACATGTGTTAATAACTAATGCCCTGTAGAAACGTGTTGCTCTTCCACTGTCTCCACTCAGTGAATGACACCAGTATGTCTCTCAGTGAGGACTTCCTTTTGCTGATTCTTCATCAGACTGGAATTCCTGCTGGGAAGTCGGCTGACATTCAGGAAAGGCAGCTCACCACTGAAACACACAAGAAATCAGAGTTTTTCAAAGCTGTAAGGTAAGCATAATTAGTAGTCCAGTTGATATTACGTATTTTTTTTACCCTATCAACCCACCTGTAGTTTTTATTTTTAAAAAAGTAGAATTGATACTAAGTTTTACCAGCTTTGAAAATTACTGATTTCTTGTGGTGAAATTCTTTATGTGGTAAGCTGCATTTCCCAGGCCTTGGACCTCATAATTGTGTTAACCTAAACGGCTTCAGTATCTAGATTTTTTAAAGGAATGTAAATAAATGTATAACATATATGTTAATTTGTAATGCATACTGTTGGTTTGCTTATTTGTTTTTTTTTTTTTTGCTGCGGAGGAAGAGGAATACCTATCCTAATTTTACTCTTCTCCATTTTGAACATTAGGGTAAGTCAGAAAAGGCAGAAATAGATGGAATTTTAAAACGAAATTGTCAGGACTGTAGGTCTAGCTTGGTAGAATGCTTGCCTAGTATTCATGATGCTATGGGTTCAGTTTGGTCCCCATCACTGTGATGGTACACAACTATAATCCTAGCACTTAAGAGCTGGAGGTAGGAGGATCAGGAAATCAAGATTGCGCTTAACTAGATAGTGAATTTAAGGACAGCTTGGGATATAAGAAACTCTATTTTGCTGGGCGTGGTAGCGCACGCCTTTAATCCCAGCACTCTGGAGGCAGAGGCAGGCAGTATCTCTATGAGTTCAAGGACAGCCTGGTCTACATAGTGAATTCTAGGACAGCTGGAGCTACAGGGAGACCGCCTCAAAAAGACCAAAAATGAATGAATGAATGAATGAATGAATGAATGAATGAAACTTATCTCAAAAAAAAAAAAAAAAAGACCAACAGAATGGCTCAGTGGATCATGGCGTTTTCCCCCAAGCCTGATGACCTGAGTTTGATTGAAATCTACATGGTAGAACAACAGCTCGTATAAGTTGTTCTCTTACCTCCACATTTTAAATAAATGGGTTGGGAACAGTGAGATGCTAATGGGGTAAAGGTACTTTTTGCTAACTGACTACCTGAGTTCAATACCTAGGACCCACATGGTAAAAGGCAAAAACCAACTCCGTGGTTGTCCTCTGACCTCCACATGTCAGCTGTGGCACACGCATGCAAGTACACATAAATGAAAATAAATAAATAGTTTTTTAAAAAAAGACAACCCACCGAGATCATCAGTGTTTTGAACTTGAAAGGGACGAACTGGCACGCCATTGAACATGCAGATTTTGCAGGAGAAAAAGTATCTAAAGCGTTAATCATTTGTCTTCCTCTATTTAGAGTTAAGACCTGTGGAACAGACAGGCATGGTGGCATATGCCTTTAATCCCAGCACTGGGAGGCAGAGGCCAGCCTGGTCTACATAATGAGTTCTTGGCCAGCTGGGACTACAGGGAGACCCTGTCTCAAAAAACAAAAACAAACTAAAAAAAACTTGTGGAAATATTAAAATTAAAAGGTTTTTGTTTTTTTTTTTTAAACCGAGTGTGGTGGCGCACGCCTTTAATCCCCCAGCACTTGGGAGGCAGAGGCAGGCAGATCTTTGTTAGTTAGAGGCCAGCCTGGTCTACATAGTGAGTTCCAGGACAGCTGGGGCTACAGAGAGACCCTGTCTCAAAAAGAGGGAAAAAAAAAAAGCTGGTGGTGTTTTTTGGGGTTTTTTTAAACCTCTTTAGTGTAACTGAAGTCAGTGTGTTAAAGTAAAAAGTTTGTCATTTGTTGAATTACATTTGAGGAGGAAGCATAAAAATTTACATCAAGCTAATTTGTAGAGGTGATAAACATTACCGTTGAAATCTACCCAATTACTTTATAGACATACGCAGGTACGAAGGATCCGAGTGCAACCAATTATGACAACATCTCAGTGTTATTAGCAAAAACAATGAGTCTTTCTGTAAGAAACAATATATTTTAAAATGAAATGGAGATCTTTTTTTAATGTAAAAAACTCATTCAATTTTATGTCTTACAGGGCTTATACTGAGTTCAGTATTGTATAACTGTATTAATTCAACAGTGAACCTAAAAATCTTTTGGCCACTTTTGAAAGAGATATATCTTTGCTCTTGAAACTGTTATTGCATATGTTAAAACTGTAATGAAATGCTTCTAAAAAAATTTTAAAAAAATAAAGTTTGTCATTTGTAACTTTGTTTGCTCTAAAAGTTTTCACGCATGGCATGGTTATTGTAGTCCTTACAACTTTAGAAAGTGCATCAGTCTTTTACCTGAGCCCTATAGAGATTAGAAAAGTACAGGATGTAGATAAGCCTCCTTCACCTGTAATTCCACCATGCAGAAGACTGCTGTTGAGATGTCAGTGTATGTGTCTTTATGACCTTCTTCTATTGCAGTGTTTGCCACGTCTACCCAGGCTTCCTACAGGGAAAGTGGCGTAGAAAATAGCAGAATGGCAGAGAGGTAAAGGAGTTCTGTTCTGGCTTTGCTGCCCTAGCTAGAACTACAGAGCTACCCTGACTCCCCAAGTTTGCCCAAGTAGTTTTGAAAACTTTTTTCATTTCCTTAAAGAAATCCAAGTACTGTAGACCATTTCTGTTGTTTATGACAGTGCCATTGGTATAAATATAAGGACTATAGGCCAGGCATGGTGGTGCACGCCTTTAATCCCAGCACTTGGGAGGCAGAAACAGGCGGATTTCTGTGAGTTCAAGGCCAGCCTGGTCTACATAGTGAGTTCCAGGACAGCTGGGGCTACAGGGAGACCCTGTCTCAAAAACACTAAATAAATAAATAAATAAATAAATAAATAAATAAATAAATAAATAAATATAAGGACTATAAAGAAACAGTGTTATTTAGCCCCTTTGATTACTGGCATACCCTCTACTTGTTACCCACACTAAAAATTAAGTAAAAAATGAGTGGGTTTTTGAGCCATCCACTATCATGGGCATGAGTATACTTTGTGTAATGTCTGTGCTAAAAGCACACTTCTGCAGATCTCTGCCATGTTATCATTAGCAGAGCAGCAAAGTATTTGACTCTGAGAATGCTGGAAGTTACCAGGGAATGGATAGGAAGAGTCCATGGGGTGTCTAATGAAGCATCATTTCCAAAATACTATGTCAGTAATATTTTTACATTTCTAAACAAAAATTAGCCTAACTGCTTTCTTCACTTACCTTTTGGTCTCTATCATGAAGTGCAGTAGCAAAGGCAATACAGCTTTTGACACCCACAGTACAAGTCATGCATTGCTTAACGTCAGAGCCATGTTTATAGTAATATATTGAGTTTCATCTATGTACAAACATCATAAAGTGCTCACACAAACTAAGACTGCTACAGCTTTACCAGGCATATTAATCTTAGGAGACTACCATCATGACTTGGGAGATGACTCAGTGGATAAAGCATTTGCAGTGGAAGCCTGGGGACCAGAGTTTGGGTCCTGAAAACCCAAATTAAAGTTGGACAGGGTCCTAATCTGAGGATTAAAGAGGCAGAACAGGGCAGCCCCAGGATAACCTACTGGAACTGGGGAGCTCCAGGTTCAGTGAGAGACCCTGAGAGACAGTGATTGAGGACAACACTTGACGTCAGCTTTGTGCCTGCACACGTACAAATACACATACACACACCATACACCATACATAAATGCATGCAAAAATAAAAAATCTTGAGACTTATCACATGAGTGGTCCATCATTGAGAAAACATTACTGATTCTACAGTGAGTTGTAGACAAATTCCTAAATTTTTGCCAGGCATGGTGATGCACACCTTTAGTCCCAGCACTCGGGAAGCAGAGGCAGGTGGATCTCTGTGAGTTCAAGGTCAGCCTGGTATACATAGTGAGTTCCAAGGCAGCTGGAGCTAC